CAGAATACATACACATTCTTTTTAAAGCTTGGCATAATACAGGAACTTTTTTTTCCCAGCTCATAACTGGAAAGATAGGCACAACCAGAACTCGCTGTTGGTGGCACTGTGCAGCAAGCACCAGGCAGGCTCCCCTCAGGCTGAACATCAGCTCCTTGCACCTTTCCATTTTACGCAAGCACAGTTTCTCCAGGTCTTTGTGCAAGCCACAACATGCAAGCCACAACGTTCTCCCCACAAAAGTCAGTCTCTTTAGCTCAAAACAGACCTGAGGATGCCTATATTCTGGCCTGAAAGATTCAAGATGGCTTTTTTGTTTATAGATCTCTAATTATGGACAAGACTCGCACAATTTCTTGTTTTCTTTTTCACATCTCTCCTCTTCGAGATGAGACAATCCTATTCCTTTAAGTCTAACTCTCAGTGGCACTGTACATGGAACATAATGTACAAGGTACACAAAGGGCTGGTCACTAAAACAAAAGAAAAAGCCTTGGAGCGACTACAAACTGCTTTTTATTTTCATCTTTCCTGTACAGAGAGCCCATGAAGACTTCAATACGTTATTGCTCCATGGTAAAAACATATTTTTTTCATCCACTTAAGATGCCAGACTCAAGATTTCCTGCTGCAGAACACTTCTCTCTCCTTTCTAATAATGTGTTTCCCAACTGTTCCTGAATGGGATACCTTGGAGACTGCTGGCACAGCTGGTTTACATTTCCTTGGGGCTTTGAACCAGGTAGGAGGTAAAGCACCAGTCTAACTTCGCAATTCAAAAGTGACTTGAAATAAGTGCTATGGTGCATTGCATTTGAAAACAGATACTGCAGATTCAGACTGTGATGATTATGGGCTTTTGAGATGTATTTCTGCCTGGAGTTGATGCAGAAAGATTCAACAGCCCATATTTCAAAAGGGATTGGAGGAGAGGGAAAGAAGCTGAATGAAACCCATGTATTTGGAAACTTTCCCAACAACTGCAATATATAAAGCAGTTTGCTTCCTAGAATTGAGATTCTGGGCTAAAAGTTGATAATGCTACAGTGGTGTTATTCAATAGCAATTAGATGAACAATCCAGTAAATTGTTTTGTTTTCTTGGTCTAATGCAAGCCACTTATCTTCTGATAAACACCATCACAAAAGAAAAACAACAAAGCATGAATCGCATAAGGGCAAACATGAGGTGAGTGCCTGCATTTTGTCAGAGTTGCAGTTACATTTTTGTAAAGGAGTTTTAAGTTTTTACCCTGATCCAATCTTTTTTCTGGTTTACAAGTGTCCACATACATCCTATAAGTTGTTCTAATCCACTGGCTCAATTCAACCCCAGTCTGTCACAAATGCAGAAAGTTTGAAGGTAAGAGTCCACACATTTTATAGTGTAAGGACAGAAGGCAAAAAAAAAAAACAGCATCTAGGCAAAGATCTGCAACTTGGAGTCAGGATGGAGAGGAACACCAACACACATAACCACAAGAAAAGTATTGAAAGCTAAGGGCCAGATCTGTGTGACAAGATCTCATCTGCTTTAGCATTTATGGTAACCTTTCATTAAACGCACTCTATTACTTAACGGTAAGCTCCAGAAGTGCGTACATCAATCAGACCAGGAACTTCAGGAAGTAACACTTGAGCACAGCAGAGGCAATAAGCAGCTTAGCTCCTTAAACCTGCACAGACCCAGTTCTGCACGCTTCAGAAGCAATGGTTGGTCAAAAAAAAGACAGTAAATTATAAGCAGTACTGTGGAGAGCCTCAGTTTATAAGGATGTCATTTTAGCTTTGCATCCTGCTGGAGCACTGGGCTTTAAAATAAGTACACTGCCTTTGTCCATTTTGGTGACAGAAATGCAAACAAACTCAGAAGTTCTAATCGGAGTTAGAAAACGTGATGCAGAGGATTAGGCTGCTCTAGATGTGTGCGTTTTGACATGCACCATTTGCCTGTGGCTTTTTATTGCTAGAACAGCATCATTAAGCCTTACCTAAGCACTGACAGGAAAGAATAATGCAAAGACGGGGAGCATTATGATTCCAGATAGTAAGTTTTCACTTCTGACTGCTGTACATGATCACCTCATTAAGGGAAAACAAATGCAATAACAGGCTGTGATGTGGAAAGTTGGAGCCTTTTACGACTGGAGCTTGTACAGCTTACATGACAGTCTTGAGAAGATATATTGGCAGAAACACTAAATTTAACTTTAAATTTTTATGGCATTGGATTATTTGCAACAGAGAGACTTAAGCAACTTGCAAAATATAGAGGCTGACTATCTTCCAACTGTACCCAAGAGCAACTTGAGATTTCATTCAAGGAAAGCAGTGAAAAACAATTGTCCTCCTAGAAAACAGGGTGTGTTGGAATGGAAAGAGGCATGGCACTTGACAGCAGAAAACAGCATTGACAGACCACCAGGGCAGCACAGCAGAAAATGCAGAAATAAGAGATCTTGTAGGCAAACAAGACCGTAGTCAGGTCAGTCGGGTAAACAGGACAGAAGTCACAACTTTCTTTAATGTCATAAATTGTGCATGCATGGATGGATGCATTATTTCAGTGTATGAAATAGGGTCTCTCAGTAAAGTACACACAAAGGAAAAGCATGGGAAAAACAAAAGTGACAGCCATTCAAGTGGGCAAAAAGTGTAGAAAATTCTAATCAAGTTTTTGCAGGAAGAAGGAAATACAGCAAGGCGGCACATTATTCCACCAGGATTTGTAACACCAATAAAACAAGGATAATGGAATAGAATGAATATTGCCAATTTTTCCTTTTTTTTTTTTTTTTTTTTTTCTTTGTAAATAGAGAGAAAATCAAGCAACATAGAAATTCTGTAGGTACTTTCATAGTATTCTTTAATTATTATTAATACTTAAATTATTATTTTGCTGTTTAGGGAACTGTATTCTTCATTAGGAAGCCAATGTTACTCACAAAATTACCTCTAAAATTACTTTCCTTTATATCTCACTTACATGGAGCAAAAAAAAATTCTCTGCTACCAGGTGAGAAAATGAAGTCAACACCCAAGTTGTTACCCAGCTGCTGATTTGAGAAACTGTATTAGATCTACTGAACAGGTAGAGGTATATGATTTAAAAAAAAAAAAAAAAAAAAAAACTAAATGCACAGTATACTGATATGGGGACAAACATAACATTCTACATTGCAAAAGACTATTATGTGTTAGTCTCTGGATGATCTCTACCTTAAATAAAAAGTGTCTGTTGCAAACATTTTAACTGAGGGGAGCAACAGACTGATCTGACACATCTGATGTTGGAACTATGAGGAACTCTTCAATATGACTGAGTCACAAAAAATCCCAGATATAATGGAATGCATTACTTAATTGTGTAATAGCTGATGCTCATTTAACAACACTGTTATTGGTAAAGAAAGTTTGTTCAGTGATAGCATAAAATACAAGAGGAACAATTAATAGCTTTTGCTTTTCCCTCTATGGCAAGACATGCAAGTTTTGGAAAGCATGGATGTCCAACCCTTTGGCTTGTCTAGGCCAAAATAAGTAAAGAGGAATAGTATTGAGCTGCACATACACACATTGTTCAGAAAGAAATGCCTCCTATGCACACATTCAGCAAGAGTCGATGAATGTGAATGGGTGCCTTTTTTTTCTGCATGGAGAAATTCAATTCCACACTTTTGCTCCATCCACGTTTCCATGTCAGATGCCATTGTGTCAGACTACCCCTCTGCTGACATCTGTCTTATGACAACAAAATGTAATGGGATATTGGTGGGAAGGCTCATCCTCTACTGCCATATCAACATCCATTTCAGACATCATGGTCTAACATCATAAAATAGGATGCATTGTTTTTGAAGCAGCCATCTTAAAAGACATAATATCATTGATATACTTAAGTAACAAAACATTTTAAGCATTTTTCTAAAAACATTAAAAAAGAGAGGAACAAACTCATATAACTAGTGGGATATTTGACGTTGTTTTGTGAAACTAATGCATCAGTCTTCCTCAGCAGTAGTGGTTGCATTCTCAGGGAGCTCTCAAGGTGTTCAGAGATCTTTGATGAAATTTTATTCTTCTTGTACTTTATCCTCGACAACCGTTCACAAACATGCAGCCAAAAAGCAATAACATGAATAAGGTGTGGTTGTGAAGTGAAAGGTATTTTTCTCTTCTAAGAGATGTCTCTCTGCTAGACTTTTGTAAGATGCTACCAGACTTTTGAGTTGAATATCTCACTGCAGCTCTATACACTGCATTTGGAAATTTGCAGGTAATGTATTTATATTAACTGAAAACGGTGCCACAAACAAATTCATGATTTTTTTGCTATCTTGAAATCTATTCTCAAACTCCTTTATCAAAACAGAAAGCATGACTGTGTATTCTTTGCTTAGCCAGTGTATCAAAACACATACAATTATTTGTCATCGCTTGAGTCCGTGCTGCTCAGCACAGCCCTCCCTGTGTTCCAGTTCACACAGTGTTACTACTGATGGGTGCATGCTCAGGGTCACTCCACAGGGAAGAGCCACCACCCTTACAGAGCAGAGCAAGGCAGGGCGCGCTGCACTGCTAGTCATGCCAGTCTGCATGCAGCCAGTGGATTGGACATGCCTGTTCTATAGCCAGCTGGTCTAAGACTTGGACAGGAACTATAATAAACACTCTGAAGGCTATCAGGGAGAGATGTGTAGTCAATTCTGATCTCCGGTTAACTGCAGATGCTGAAACAGTGCCAGCACTGACAGGCTAACTGACAGTTGCATTTAATAATAAGGTGTTTCAAACAATTCCATGCTCCACTTTCAACCCAAGCATGCAAGAACCCAACTATTGGCTGCCTCCCACCAACTCCAGACTCACAGTAAACAAAGAGATCTCCTTAACCTTCTTCTATGCCATATCCGACACCTCCTATCCCTGATCTCCACGACATTCACCAATCAAAATATATAAATACTTCACATTTCCCAGAAGTGCAGAATTAGAAAAATATTTCCAGTTATCAAAGTTGTTTTAATAAGTTACATTTCAGATGTTTCACTTTCCACAGCAGAAAACAATTCAAAAACAAGATTAAAAAATGCTGAAAAAGTGTTGCGAATTAATTTCGCACAGACAGGCCTGCTGTCTCTGTTAAAGAGCAAATCTGTTGACATTGAATATTTTAACACAGTGATCAGCTCCACAACTTGCAAGCTGCAACCACTCGCTGTTTTTCTGATCATTATGTCCAGCTCTGCCCTCACGATGTCTCCAACACAAACGTTTCACAGCAAGAGCATGGCTTTGGCTGCAACAAAAAGAAATCCATACATAACTGCGAAATGTCAAGCACAGTTGGGTATGTGAATGTAAACATCAACATTTATATAATTAGTACACTTAACTCTACCAACTGTGGAAAAGCTGACTTGTGATAATCAGCAGGTATGAAATTCTTAAAAATAAGTAGGGCCATTAATTCCAGTGACATTTTATCTTCACGGTCATCAATTATTTAAACAGTTATTGATTTGAAGTTTTGTCATGTTAGGCTGAAGATTTAGCATCTCAGTTACCAAGATAGGACAGATTTTTGGGTTTTAGTATGTCATTTCCTGTCATTTGGCATCCCTTTCAAATTCACTACAAGTACACAGGCCAAAGTCACCATCAACTTTCATTTCTGATACTATCCATGTCAATACATAGAGAAAGAATCTAAGAAAATGTTCCAAATTAAATATTCAAAGTCTCTCTGTAGAGTTTCTCTTACTGTCACCATAGCAGCACCATATTCAACTTATGATTCCTTTAGTTTTTGCTATAAGCTGCTCTTTAAAACTTTGTCATCTACTTCAAAATTCTTTGCAAATGTATACAGACAGTTATTCAGTGATTCTTTCCCCCAGCATTCAGTATTTTCTACCATCTTGTTCTCTGGTTAACACTAAAAAAGCTTTATTTTTTATTTTCAGACTATGATAAAAGACATCCGCAGGTTTCCAGGGATCAGTCTTTTCCTAAAAGGATATCAAATTTGTATGAAAATAAAGCAGTTTCATATCATTTTATCACATAAGAAAAAAATTCCAGTACTATCAGACTTGGTAAGAACACTTAATTGCTCCTAAAATACTTCAAAAGATATACCTGTTATCCATCTCAACACACTTGGTCCAGTCAGCTGCTGATGGTTCTTGCCCACTCTGCTTCCATGTGTAAAAGTTAATCTTCCCATTCTCTAAGCCTATTGCAACAATATACCTATAAAGAGAACAACTGCATTAATTCTAAAAGAACTGCAGAATTCTAAGCACTCAAACAAAGCATTGCAACTCAGCCTTCAAAATAATATACACTTTTTTCATGAAAAAAAAAAAAAAATCAGTATAAATCAAAGCACCTCCATAAAAATGAACAAAACAGGAATTTGTAAATTCATTTGGTTAGAATAAAAAATATAATACTCATAAGCAGGTTATTACAGCATCAGTCCAGACAACATTATCATAAGAACAAATGTGCTTCAGATGCATTAACCCACTCTGTCATCCTCTCCCTCCCACCCGAAAATAGGTTAAGGAAAGAAAAAAGAATTCAAGTAGTCAAATACTTGACAGCTACATGTTAAGAGCTGTTAAGCCACAGAAAATTACTAAAGGGGAAAAACATACTGATTTCAAGATGAATTTAGAATGGCACTATATAAGTCAGCAGTACCTTCCATCAGGAGTAAGCACACGGCTGATACTAACGGCAGTAACAGAATCTCCAGCATCCAGTACTGTTGAACAAGGTTTGATTGAATCCAACACACTGCCTTCAGTAGTCACACATAAATCACACTGACCCCAGATGATGACCTGTGAAAAAGAGAATCATCTAGGAATCCCTCCGTTAAAATACTCCCAGAGCACAGAACAAAGGCGATGACCCCTAAAAGTTTCTACCTACAAAGATTCAACTGCTTAGAAAGTCTGCTTGACTGCATTAAATATATTAATAACAAATACAGATTATATTATGAAAATCCAATAAAATCTGAAGTAGATAGCCATGACAGTTTGTGACATATGCTTATCTCACTGCGCAAAGTTGAGACGCAGTCTTGTACACACGTTTGAGCACTTTATCCACCATATGAAAGTCTCCCCGATTTCTGTGGTAACATACACTATTGTCTCTTAGTGCTTATAGACCATGAGTCCATTAGAATACAGCACTTGCTAATCTTAAATATACCTAAAATGATTCTGGGCTTTTAAAATTCCTTTTACATTAATTACCTTTTTGTCCCGACTGCCAGTAACAAAATATTTGCTATCTGGCATCCAATCACAAGACCAAATGATTCGACTGTGAACAGCTGTATTTTTGTCTGTGTGTGCACAGCAACTGAAAACTGGTCCTGGAATAAAACAAAGAAAAAACCTTTACTTCAACTACTTTGTTTGCTAGAAGTACCTAGAATATTTAAGAATAATATGAACAGCAGGAATAATTGGACGCCGTTACACTCATCTTTAAAGCAGTTGGGAGGTACTTAGTAATAGTATCAGGAGTACTTAGTATTTTTCCCCAACATCAATCAGTTGAACATAATTAGTACTGATCCAAGACCACACCACTCAGTCCTTACAGCATGAAAACTGGGAACAGTTTCCTTTATACGCTTACCTGTTTCACAAGAAACGAATTTCAAGCATTACATATCAAGGTTCCATACAAGTTTTTAATAAAAACACTGACTTCAAAAGCTTTAGTATAGTGCAGTTTTTACCATGTGTACACATACACCCCAGCAACCCACTACAGTTTCTAGTTGTTACCAGTAAAGGCCCAAGAGCTGAAGTCACAATGATCCAATCCCAAAGCTTAATCTGCTCCCAACAAGATAAGCTGCGGTTTCACCACGCATAAAATCAGGCAGCAAATCTGATTAGCAGATAGCAAAGCTTTGGGAATGCTTTTCCTAATTAGAAAGAACTGTCATTTCAGAACACAGAAGTTGAATAACTGCATTTATTGGGATGCCAATACAAGTAGTCTTGCTTTATACTAATAACAATGTTTTGTAGATGGAGAAGTTTGTGATGAATAGATGAAAAGGGTTTCCTTTGCTTTCTGTATGAATTCATACTCTTTAATCCAAAATATTAACTACTCTGGACAATATGCCAGGCTTTAAAATAAAAGTCTGAGCAGAACAGAATCTCAAGCCAGAACGCAGACACTGTGTGACAGGGTGAAAACTCACTGCCAAGTCTGTGAGAAAACTCTATAGAGCTCAGTAACCTTGTAGCACATAAACACTACTGGGCTCTTACTAAGTCAATGGTGCAATGATAATTGTTTTCAGCATAAGCATCTGTTCAAGGAATCCATTCATGTTCAACAGCAATTTCCTTACGATTTTGCAAGGCTTAAAGTCCTAATGAGAAAGTCAACTGAATCTCTACCATCAGTTCTATTTTACAGGCAGAGACAGCGAGCCAAATTAATCAATTGCGTAGGATTATAAGAAAGCCACACCAAAGACAGAAATTAATCCTGTCAAGAGCCTCAGAGCATCATGCCCTGCAAAAAGAGACAAGGCAGTACTATACAGGACACAGCAATGTAATAACGAACCTTCTAATGTAGCTTGTGCAGAACACCAAGACAATGGTTTTGCATGACAGAAAACCAGTCTGAAATTCAGACGCTGTATTCCAGCTCATGTACTTGATTTCAGTAAATTTGTAATGTACAGCCACAAGTAAAAGGTAGGAAGACTTCAATCAAACAGTATTTAGTGCCTGATCATATCCTTTTCTACATTTTAACTCCCATTATAGTTTTTCTATGCACCATGAATTGCACTTCCTAAAGCTACAGGAACACATATAACTATTAAATACTTAATAGTTGTAAGGAAAGTGTCCATTTAGAATATTTTACCAATTATCTTCCAAATACTTTGAAGCCAAAAATAGCGAACAAATCTTAAAGTCTTCAAATGTGTAAATCCATCCCATGTACCTTACCTGACTCTGATGCGACTTCTTCCCTCCACAGTGACCAATTTCTGTCTCTGGACACTGCTAATAGAAGTTTGTCATTAGGTGAAAATGCCAGCTGAGTAACAGTCAGATTGTGAAATGGCAAACTCTGTATTTTCTTCCAAGAAGAGGTGCTCCACAAAATAATTGCTGCATGTTCTTTTTTGGAAGCCTGTGGAGAAAAAAATTTAAAAAAAAAATTAAAAAAACCCAGTGTGAATTAAATAAGGCAAATATAAAAATCACACATTTCAATATACCAAAATGTTAAGGGGCTTTTTTTTTTTCATGAGTTACAGTCCAGCTCCTTCTACAAAGTTTCAAGATTGTTTCACTGCATTCCACCAGCAATGACAATGTGTCAGAAAAATGTTACAAATAACTGTTTGTTAGAATTCCTCTTACTAAGAACTTTAAACAAATCACAGAATTATTTCTGAATAACAACATCTCTGTATTCAATCTCACCTTTGCAAGGCAACTGGCATTTATAAGAAATCTTTCACGTTAACTTAAAGAGCAGATACAGTACAGTACAAACTGAATTCTGACATTTCTTCTGTCAGCCCTAGAAATATGACAGCACTTTTCACTAGATGGTGCTAGAATCTTTTCTTACCTTACACGCTGAGGCAATTACAGTGTTTGAATTATTGCAAGCAACACAAAAAATTTCATATCCATGTCCATACCTGAAATAAATTTCAAAAGCTATTTATCACAGCACAGACATTTCTGCAGTATGCATTAGGGTTTTTACATTAACTTAAATCCCTTTGCAAAAATGAAAGATACATACTAGGAGCATCTTTCAACAAACAACACTTTCTGTTTCGCATTCCAAACAAATCCTGATAATACTCTGCATTCAATTCAAACATCTGCATAAACTCTTTCATGTTTAGGAACTGACTACAGACGAACCACTCCAGCACATTTCATAGTCCTAAATCATCAGCAATGCAAAACCTACTGCAATTACTAACAAAAAGCAGACAGCATTTAATGTACTCTTGTTTTCTTGTAAAACAAATTTAACGCTATCAATAAAAATTAGAAGCCACATATTTTAAAATCACAAAAGAAAAACAAAGGCTAACAAACTACTATCAGTCAGAGATCAGAAGCAGAATAAAGTTGGCAACATCTTGAAACAGTAGAAAAATATCAGCTAAATACCAGCTGCTGGAGGGATTTATAGTACCTAAGCAAGCATTTCACTTTCTGTTCAAAGCAAAGCCGTAAGAATTCTGGATGAAACCTAGGCCACATAACTCACTTATCTAATCAGAAACACAGGAATATTTAAGGAATAACACAGAAATCCTCATGGACAAAGTTAAACAATCTCTGCATGAGGCCAACCTTACTTGGAATCACCTCCCTGTTTTCCAGCTTTCCCATCACTCCTGAACAATGACAACGTAAAGACACTGTTTTCAGTGCCACGAAGTACAGAGGTATCAGGGCTTATTTATTACTCCTTGTGACCTTATGCTCAGAGACCATTTACCTGATTACCCCTTGTTGTATGACAGGGGTAACAACACTGAACTGCAAACAACAGGCACAGAAAGGGCATTGTCTCTTCTACTACAAAATTTGCTGGGAGGATTCTTTACATCAGAGACAATGCATTTTCTGACCTCTGTGAGAAAAGGTATCATGAGAATTGCAGTTTTACATTGGTTCAAACAGGACTCCACAAGTAATGGAAGAAAAAAACAGTGAGTGTTGCTGAAACACAATAAAAACACATATTCAGTTTCAGAAGCTCCTGAGCTGAAAACAGTGAATACTGCAGGGAACCATCTTCCTTGGGGTGTCTGCTTACACAGAGTTTTCTTCTTCATAAGACAGCACAATTGCTCCTACCCCCAAATCATGTAGTCCAGTCTGCCATGCTGTAGGAAACAGCTAGACTCACCACAGCCACAGAGCAAGGAGTCAGCGTCAGCCTGGGCAATACACCACACTGTCTTCCCTGCCAGCCACTTCATTTGCAGCCGTTTTTTTCTTGGATGTTGTTGCTTGGACTAACTGAAGCAAGGATCTCATATCTTTGAAAACAAATGTCCTATTGCCATTATAGTCCCTGGGCATAACACTGGTCTCTAGAGGCTCTTGGTCTGACCAATGTTTGTGTGACTTTGTAAAAGATGCTGTCTTAGGTCTTGTTTTCATTTGAGGAGGAGTATTTTAATGCTTCTATTTAATAAGAGCAAAAGTTGCATAGAGAAGCAAAATGTTGCTGTTAAACCCTCTGCAGTATTATATTATATGAGATAAAAACAAAGTAACCAAAGACTTGTTTCACAAGTTATTCCACAAGCTGTTTCTCCTCTACTGAATTCCACTGAAAGCATACCTTGAATGGAATATTTTCAGTTCTAAAAACTTGACTTTCAATAGTTTCCAATATAAGGCAACTTTCAGAAATCTACTTTTAAAGTAAACATTATGATGACAACCCTTCTGGGAAGGGTGAGGGGAAGACACAAATTAATAGCTTCACCATTATAAGACACAAATTTGCAAATTAACATTCCAATTAAGCAGCCACCAGTCTCTCTCTTCCCAGAAGGCCTGTACACACTCTTCATGAAGTGCCAGCACGTCCCCAAACTTTAGACATGAATGTGGGAGTCTGTCTGTGGGAAATGCCCAGCAGTTACTCTATTCAACAGACACAGACAGTAATTTGCCACTTAAACAGATGGCTGTTTTGGCTGTAAGTAAAATCCCATGAACATCAGTCCCATATAACAAAGTCTTTGCAATACTGTTGACCAGAGGAGTTTATCTGGAGAACTGCTCATCTCTTCAGAGCTACATCAGAACAGAGTTCTGATCAAGAAGAAGGTGCCTCCCTCCCACACAGTGATGGACCATCGTCAGCTACAACTTCGCTCTGCAGGAACAATCCCCAAAGCTTAGAGCAACGTCCAGAACAAGTGACAATTTGTGCCAATAAGCTTCATGCAAATCCTGGAAAGCCCAAGAAGATATAAACTCTCCCTCTACCCCCCACCCAAAAAACAAACTAAACTATAATATGCATCTGTACAAGCAGGGACTCACTGAGGTGTGACTTCATTAAAGATGAAGACAGCAAGTCCCAGTTACAAGCCCTCCCTCCACTCATACACATTCAATCCCATCCCTTCATTACATAATGCAGCACAAAAAAGGCTTCACAAGGGAGAGCAAAGCAACTGTATGAATGAATAATGAAATGACATTTCCAGCCACAAGCCATTTTGCCCTAGCAATGTGTAAGTCATAACATTTTCTTATGCGCAGGTGAGCCGAATGGATGTTCAAAGTTTCCAGGCAAATGATTACTGTAATTTTCTAGTGTCAAAAAGGATGTCTCAGGACTTCCAAGTGTATTACATAAAGCATACATATTGCATATATACATTCTATGGTAATTTTCCAAGAGGATAAGGATTAGCATATTCTCATAGGATTTATCATATTTTTATCTTAAAGTTATTAGATTATGTAAAAAATTCAGCAAGTTCTTCATGCTAAAACCCACTCAACCAAATAGTTATCAAAACTGAACACTAATCCTTCAAAATTTGGTGCTGAGCTAGAGCTGGGAATACACAAATGTCAATAACAAAGAGGCTATTTTTGGCAAGTCAGTTCCTCATGCTGTTTTTCTGCTGCCATGGTAACTTGAAATCTGCATTATGCAATTTCATGTTACTTCTTTCAAGATTATCCTGAACAAAAAAAGAAAATCTGAAAGACAGCTTGCATCTTGTTTCTTTCACACAAAGGAATCTCTATCATTAACAGTTTCTCTAACTACAGAAAAAACTGCTGATAAGTCACCTGTGAGCCATCATAAAATAAAGGATATTTTACTAAACGAGGCTTGATTAGCAGTACTCCCATAGCAGAATATCAACAATAAACACTGAGAAATGTTAAGACAAACAAAGGAAAATTTTGGCCTTGGCCCCTTCTCACTACTTATGATCACCACCAAACTACTTAAATAAAGCAGATGCATTAGCAGCCGTTGCGTGCACAGGAGAAGCATTTAATGTAATCGTTGGTAATTACAAAACATACAGACACAGTCTAGTTCCTGCCAGCTTCCCTGGTGTAAAAGCATTTAAAAGTATTCAAAGAAGATTAACTGCCCAGCTGAACCATAAAGATGAGTTCCCAACAAAACCTCCTACTCAGCCAAATGAAAGCAATTTGGAAGCAGCTTTCCTAAAATGTTGGGGTTTTTGTTGTTGCTGTGTTTTAAATATTTCCTCTTCCATCTCCCCTCCCCAAACAAAGCCGTAAAATTGGTAAATGTAGTCATCGAAGACTCAACATTCTTGCTTCTGCCCGAGACTACTGTTTCAGGAGATTCACGTTAGAAAATACATAAGAACTTGAAATGACTAATTCCTTTGCATATTCAAGATCAGAAACGAGAATGCTGCCCAACACATGTAGATAATCAGTTTCCTACTCACAGCTCTGCTTCGAGAGCAGCACTGTTACCTAAACTCACTTAAAAGAGCCATGCAAAATCTACAGTTAAGACTTTTTTCCATTATCCCCTCCATTTCCTATCAACTCCCTGGTACTGCCATTTGCAAACACTCTGAGAGGTTCAAAGAGCCGATCTAATTGACAGTGAGTCAAGAAAACAAATTTTGGCTAAGGTTAGCATACAACAACTTGTAACTAAGACCAGCTCTTTTGAGTGAAGCTCACAAAAACTTTGAAGCTTGAGCAATTGCAGCCTAATGTTACTGAGACCCTGAGGGAACAAATACATTAGAAACTTCATTTGCAAATTATTATGAAATTAATACTTTGAATGAATCACAGAAAAAGAAGGAACAAAACACAGTAGAAGAATTCTAAAACCCTGCAACCTCAACAATTATTTGCATGACCTATTACGTTTGTGAACCATAACTTATTTTGTCAGCATTCAATACCCAAACTGGGTCTGCAACCATCTTAACCCACAGTCACCTCCTTGCTCTACCACCAACCACAGCTTGTTTCAGCTGCTGCTTCCATCTATTGCATCTGACAACTTCCTTGGGCTTTGAGAGGAAGTTACTTATTTGCCCCATCAGCCTTGAGTAGCAGCACTGCTTCCAGAGCAGAAAGACAGACGTGATCTGCACAGTCTGCCAAAAAGCAAAAGAAAGCAAAAATTCCTGCCCTTTTCTTCAGGCTCTTACCTTTGTGATACATATATTTATTTTACAAGATATATGCTGCACAGGGTCATATCAGGTAGTAAGTCAGGTAGAGTTATGAGACCAGACTACATTAATATTGCAATAGCTTTAGGGAAAGAAAAGAAAAAAAAAAAAAAACTTACAACTTCTGAATTTCAGGCCACAATGTATTCTGCAGCAAGTGATCCTCTTGAGGAGGTTCTAAAAGACATTTGTATAACATATTTAAATTTGGCAGTAGATAATCTAAAATCAGCTAAATTACGCTTCTAAGATAATACCCAATAAACCTAATTCTCTACTTGATACAACAGAAAATAATCTCATACCTGTAAGGATGAGGGGTTGAAAATATGTCTCAGGATACTGATTAGAAACAGTATTAAACGTTTCTTCATCCTCAGCTACTTGAGCAGATATATCTCCTATTCAAAATAAGGACTTTATTAGCTGTAGAGAACATATTTGATATAAAAGAAAATATAAGCATGTACTACACAAGGGAAAACCCTCCATTATTTTGAAAATCCAAGCAACATTAATACAAACATTAGAATCCAGTGATTCTGATGCACGTAACACTGAAAAGACTTTTGAAAAAAAACAACAACAAAGACATAAGAACAATCCAACCTTTGAACTAGTTCCACTCTGGGATTAACCTCTTCACTATCAGAGTCTCTTTCAGAGATTCCCAAAGAAACTTTGATATATCAAAGAATCAGTCAATAGGAGCTGAAACTGTTGTGTCCCCAGTGTTAAATCATTTTCCTCCTTGAAAATTTAAATTAAAAAATCCAAAAAAATAAAGTTCAATTTCATATCATGTAGACACCTACATGAAAAGTCATGCTTGAAGAAGTCTACATAGTTTGCAAACTTCAGCAAACCTGCCAAGTGCTCAGCCTTCGTAGCTGTAGGCAAATGTACTAACTGAAATTATTCAGTTACATTAAAATTCAACTCAATCATTCACTTTGAAAGAAATATTTAAGATATCAAGTTGGGGTAAAGTGCTGTTTTGTGAAATGCAAATTTTGAATATAGCTGTTTAAAAAAGTAGGTAGAGAACTCAGCAGAACAGCAAGACTATTTTGTTATCCACCCTGCCTTCTTTCTCCTTGAAAAAAAAAAAAAAGAAAAATCAGTAGCATTTATCTAACTTGAGATACTTCCTCATGGCTGTTCACTATAAGATTCCTCTGTAGAGTAAGCAAAAACAACGTTCTATGGGACTTAACTTAAGCTATCAGTGCTGATAGCATTTGGTGGACAATAACGGACAGCACAAAAATTGGACAGCTTTTCTATTATAGTGCTACTGCTGGGTATGGCACATGAAATCAACTGAACTTTATTGCTTTCTGTGTGGTGATGCTATAGAAGATGGAACTTATTTCCCTCTGTTAGTGGAAGGTTTTATGAAAGAGCAGGAAAAAAAAGATTTTTGCCAAAATAAATTATGTCATGTACAACAAGGATATTTTTTCTCTCAATTAGGTTTTAGGACAATTTAGCTATATTAACATTAAAGATCCTGAAGATAAAATCTAATTCACATACTTTCTTTATTAATTCATACCTTCTGATAAAAGTTCAGGCAGAAAAAAACTAATTTGTAGATTTCAATTAAAATACATTTTTACCACATGCTTTATCAAACACCAGATTTCCCATTTCCAAACCTAATCTCAAGATATGGCTCAGTTACAGTTATCACTCCAAACAATTATCCGTCCTGGTGTCCCCACCACCTCTCTAAGAATATGATCTGGTGTCTCTCCAGCCTTTACATAAAGAACATTTCTTCATGTTGGAGAAATAGTTCTCCAATGTTTTCACAAAGTGTCATTTACCCAGAAAAGGTCTATGTCTATTCTTACAGGAAAAGAATACAAAATGTGTGCAATTCCACTTAAAACTGCATTATTTCTACAACCTCTACAAGGGTGTTAACGTCCAAGGAGCATGTGAACAAGACTCCAGAATACAGCTTAGAAGGTCAAGGATACTGGTATTTTACAGAAGAACAAAGAAAAGCAGTGGACAGCCCTGATTTAATAATGTGGAATTCAATTTTATTTAATAATACTCAATTATTTTTTGCTAGAAGTTGTCAGCAATCTGATTGAGGGAACAACGAGGAGCATAGAGAAAACATAAGAACAACTGCAGTTTGGGGAATCTGAGTAACACCGTGCCCCAGATATTTCCAGGTCCACCTCAAGCATGCATCCAGCCTCACATCTAGGTGGAGACAACAAGGAGAGGCCTTGGGTCCTACAAATGTGGGTCACAGTGTGGGAGGCAAGGAATGGGCATTTGGGGTTCACATAAGGTTTACTACAGGATATTTAGGAGATGAGCCAAAAGCACATAAAGGGCTGAATCAAGAAAGCATTCTCACTTGTTCTCACTGTATTTGTTAAGTGCCATATTTAAGTGCTGCCAGACAAAATAAACACATTGTACAACTTTACTTCTAGCTTAGAAACTTAGTCAAGTTCACTATGAGACCAAGCAAAAAGACAAACATTGATGAAATTATTTAAAAAAAAAACAACTTTACATGTGAAGCACCATCACTTCTCATTATTATTTCTTATTAGCCATACCTTCAAAAACAGCCTTATTGGATAAACCCAATGCTGGCACAGTTGCACCTTCAGGAAGGTCAGAAGATTGCTGAATTTGAAAAGAAAGAGAAAAGTTTCACAAATTGTCATGTGGGGATCAGGTTTTAACGGCCATAGATTAATGAATCCCTGTAAGAACAGGGACTTTGCTAGAGAAAAGTGAAGGGGGGGCTTTGGAAAACTCCCAACTCACCCCACAGCACACCTTAGACAATATGAGGAACAAGAAAAAAAAAAGCTTTATCTAAGGCCTCAGCACAAAAGTTCTGTTGTAAAGCATGTATCTTCATTCCTACATTCAGGTTTTCAGCTATAATTTTATTTAGGACACACACGATAAGGCTCAGCTGAGAGCACTGCAGTCAGTAATGCAATAGGACTGGGAAGTAGCCTGTTCTGAGGTGAATTAAGGGGGTGTCTCTGTCCATGGCTTCCAACACAATGTAGCACATAACACGGAGATGTGGCTGGAATACATGGCCAAAAATTAGAAAGGTAAGTGAGCTTCAGGACCTTCGTGCAGAGATAGAAAAGTTTTAGATCTAACAGCTGTAAAATTCCTTTGTTCAAGGGTTTGAAAAGTTTGAACGAAGACTGGACTTAAAATTTAGGTGACGGCCTAGAATAAGATGTTACTTATTTAAATATTCATAACTTGATCAGAAAATGTCTGACACTGACGTATAAGTGGTTTTTAAAACAAAAAATGCTTCTTGTTTATAACATAAGGTATAACACAAGCCAATAGGCTTGAACTGCATGTAATCCTGCTCCTCTTCTTGTTTGAACATAAAGCTGGCCTTTTTGGTTTGGCACTTTCTTAGGGAAGGCATTTGAATACAGTTAAGACAAAGCTTACACACTAATGAAAAATATTCACACAAAACTATTTCAATTAAGCTGTTTAAGAGTATCTGTATCATTACAGCTTGTGAAGCCTTCCTCTTTAGACAGTCTGTAAGACATTTTGTGATATCATAGATCAAAACACAGCACTCAGAGGAAGAGCTGATAAGGAAAGTCTACATGAAAGTAAAATAATGACATCTGCCAGTATTATAAAAGCACAGTGTTATTTGCACAACGTCATCAGTACCAATGCTTACAACAACTTAACACAATTAGCAGATATCCACTTATGTAACTTCTTGCTACTAAAAATTAATAGATTTCCTTCCTACACATTTCAAATGTTAAACAAAATGGAAGAGCTAATCTGTCTTTGAGAATCCACACAGAAAACACTGCTTTTAAGCCAGGAATGCAAAGAGGTAACAATTCTGAAAGAGGGCTGCTCTACAAGATGCAAAGAAAATCAGAATTTGTTCCTAAAGTGAATGAGTAGCAAAAAAAGGATAGCAATGCTGCAAGTCTTATCTTTCCAACAAGCAGGAACACTCACTTGTATACAACAGCTATAGGCCTACAAGAACTGAAATGTCCTAGCCTCACAAGAAAATTTCCACAGCCAAGAGGAAATAAAGCATGAACAAATACCTATTTATAAATATTTATCTAGAACTACTAACAGCAGTGCTGAAAGCTTGGTGCTATTTCCAAATATACAATTAAAAAAAAATAAAACACAAAACAATGCAAAACCACACAATAATAATTACATACAAAGAAGACTACTACACCCTCAAATTAAGAAGAAGCACATTGTCAGGCATTAGTGTTTGTTTTCAAATCATCAAATATATACACTAGTCTACTTGGGCTGATTTTTTCTTTTTCTTTTTTAATTTACCCATATTCTTCAGACAACATGTCTTGTTTTATTTCAAGTACTCAGTGGACATGGTGGTGGATAGGTTGACAGTTGGACTAGATGACCTTAGTGGTCTTTCCCAACTTTAGTGGTTCTATGACAACATCATGAAATATATTTGAAAAAGCACACAGAGAAACTAGCATAAGAGGAAGGAGAATTGAAGGTTCAGAATTGTTATATTATTTGGTGTAAGTTAATGCATTTGATGCTTTCTAAAGCATTGATGTCATTTACATGGAAAAGGGCGGCTTCATTTATAGCTGCTTCAGAATACTTACATGGGAACACAGCTTCTCCATTGGAATACCAGTGATGTTACTGAAATTTTCTATAAAATTCTTGGGAGCACAAAAAACTCGAAGCACTTTTTCATCTGCTCCTGACACAAACTGAAAGCGGCCAACCATTGCCAGACAACGCATGTCATACCCATGTACTTGAGGCCGGGCTACTTCATGCCAGGTTACCTACACAAACAGAAATGCAGTTAAAATACAATTCTTAATCAGAGAAGCAGTAAGATTTTGAGATGTAAAAAACCATTAATAAATTCCTTGATGACTTTATTAACATGAAGGAAAGCTAATAACCTTCTATTAATGTTTATAAAACTGGTGTATGCTCACATACATCAGCTAACTCCCATTCTTCCACCACAGACTCTTGCAATTAGTGAATGGAGTCACTTCTCAGGTTTCCTAGGGCATTTGCTTACCTTTGTGGCAAACTAGTCACCAAAACTTCTTCATGCTATACCTTACAAAAGGCATGAGTTGCTTTAAAAAAAAGGAAGACTGTATGCTATTTATTGCTTTCAAAACCATAGCTCTGAAAGACCGAAGAAGGTAGCAAGAAGTACCTACTTCCTTCATCTGCCATTCCTGAAGCATGACAGCATTGCTGTCAGTAGGTTCCTACTTCCTGTATTTTCTCCATAACTAAAATAAGCAAAATCACTTTGTAGAAGCTGTACAAGAACTGAAAAGACCAAAATAGCTCCTTATTGCAAAAACAATTGGAAAACCCTGATGATTTAAGAAACATTTTCATTGGAAACAGTTTTTTTAGTTTCCTCATACTTTAACCCAAAAAAGAGAATCAACAGCTAACCAAAAATTGAATGGGTAATATTTTTTTTTTTTTTAAATTGTGACACAAAGCAAAGAATATTAGCAAGAATATATTAAATTGTTCACATTGGTTTCCTAAAAAATAGTATTTATTCTACATATGAACTGAAGTTTTAAGGGATAACAATTTGCATTTAGCACTATGTACTCTTTAGTAAAAAAGCTCAATATTTATTAACTTTTAATAGATATCTGAGTCATCCAGACAAATATCAGATGTTACCTATTGTAATTCTTCAGATGCTAAACTCAGTACAGTAAGGAAAGGCTGGCATTTTAAAAGCCTGCACTGCCTAGTGTTCCAGACCCCTTCACATGACCCATTTCTACTACAACTCGACACCTCATCCCACCTACAGGTTACTACAGCTTTCTCCTACAGCAAAAAGTATTGGTGTCACTTGACTTTACACGTGGTCTATCCAGCCAGATGGCTGCTGTTTGTCAGATCAGGAAGAAGTACAATAATTCAGTTCACTTAGATAAGAACACTGCCATCATTCTGCTAAATCAGTTCATTAATTCTAAAATTTCAGAGATAACAGGAACAGCTGCATAGGTAAAGATCAGTTCTTCCAGATAAATATTTAGCAAACAGTATACATAATGAAAAGTGGTGCTTCAGTAGGTCACAGAGAATATTCTATTGACAACTATTTTGAATGCTGTCAGCTTACATAACATGCTAGTTCTGGACTTAGTTTCCATATGCCAAATCCAGCATTCTATCTTTTCCATAGAGCTGTTGCACCTGCCAGCTTGGAGACAAGGGAAAAGGAGCAGAGAAACAAACTGGAGCTGCTCTTCATAAAATACAATGCAAAGCTTACAAATTGATCTGGGATTGCTACCACTTCTGTGTAGTCTGGAAGAAGGAAAACAAGGAACTGTTTATGCTAGTGACTTAGCTAAGCTTCTGTGGTAACAGTTACCCTTTACCTCCCCCCATTGCTAGCACAGGATCTCACATGACTTCAGTGCTCTAGTTTCTGGAAGTTTCCTGAATGGAATGTTCTGTCAGAAAACAAAAACAAAACAACACAACCCTGTGTTTGCAGACTAGCAAAATGAATGATCAATGAGAAACTGCAACTGCAGCATTCCCAGACAGGGTTTCCCTACAACAAAATTTAGACTTCTTTTGGAAGACAGTTATTCAGGAGCTGCAGGAATAAGTGCCAAATGCAGTTCAGTGGTGGGTAATCATTCTGGTAAAAGTCACATTCACAAACAAAATAATATAAAAATAGATAAATAAATAAAATAGAAATACAGTGAGAAATTTGCATGGGGGAAAAGAACAAGGCTGAGTATCATCCTCCACAGTGCTCAGCTAAGCATGAAACAAGAGCAATAGATGATTACTAGAATCAGGCATGTACTCTTGCACCACTTATTTCAGAGCTAGTTTCTTTGTTGTTTTTTTAAAGCCCAGGAGAACATTAACTGAAGGTAACTCAGAGGTGAACTCAGGAGTTAAACAGCAATCATTCATGTGATTACTAAAACTTGCAACTAGTATTTTTAAATTGAAAACAACACATACTGAATAACTAAGCCAAACATTTACACAAGCAGTTTTGAATATCATGGTTTGAGGATACTGAAGATAAGAACTAAACTCAAAGGACTTATTCCAAAGTCAGGAAAGGCAAGCCTTTACCAACCCCGCAAATTCTTTTTGAAGATCATACCTGTGTCTCATGTTTTCTTTTCCATGGAGCAAATAGTCTAGTAGTTTGATCTGAACCAACGCTAATGATAAATTCTCCTTCTGGGTCCCACTGTACATCCTCAACACTGTTAAAATGTCCTGAAATCACAACTTCTGGAGTCCATTCTTTCTATTCAAAATATTAAAGGAAGACATGTAAGAACCAATATGTTTTCAACTGACCAATCAGCATATTGTAACAAAAGTAAGTGATTAGGAAAAAAATAAAAAATAAAACAGACATTTGAAAATAGCACATTATTAGATCTCAATGTAGCTACACGGACACCAATACTGATTTATTGTCCCAACTTAAAAGAAAATAGTGTAAGTGGTTCAGGTACCATTTCTGAGGAAAGCACAATTACAGATGTGCTCAAATTGCTCCAATGACTGTGGATCCTACACAGAGGCAGGAGCTCTACATTCTGGTTAATTCCAGCCTCTTCCCTATGCAAGAGTGAGGCTTCTGCAGAATATTATACTCAGAGAAGGACCAATTCTATCGTTAATTTTAAGCTGTAGTGTTACACCTGGTATTTTCTATTAACCATACAACTGCATGACAAGAGCTAGTAAATGATAAGAACTAATAATAATAAAAAAACAAATAACATACCTTATTAACTGAAGCCTGTTTCCAAAGGTGGAATGCTCCATGAAAAGCATGAGCAATGATCATTGAACCATCTGGACTAAACTGGCAGTCAAAAAATCCAAGGGTATTGCCACCCACTTCACCTACCCGCATCTGAATTAATGAGCAGAAACGAAATACCCATGAAAATGGCCTTCAGTTAAAATGAACTCATCCTAATCTCACAAGATGCAAATCAGTTACAGGCAAGAGTTTGTATTATATAATATTCTTTAAACATTTTGGATAACTGCAAAATTAAGCACTAAGGTATCATAGGAATTAAAGCTGCAGGTCATTTTAACAGTCTTCCTTCACAAGCACCTCAGAAGGGGGATCGTGCAATCTGAGGTCCAACCAATGCAAATGGAAAGTAAAAAAAAGTAACAACTTAGTACAGGTTTTATGGCACAATTACTTTTTTGAAATTTGTAAATTTAGGCATAACTATAACAACAATCAGCATCTCTACATGATTACCCACTTGTGTCCTACTTCATACTTCAGATAGAAAGGCTTTTCAATGGAACTGAGGAAAAATTGTAATTACTACTGTACTTCTTTTCCCCAGGAGAGCATAAGAACTTCCTTTGTGACAGGAAAAGTCATAAACAATGGTTGGCATAACGCAACACAAACAAATGCAGTGGAACTACTGCAATACATTTCTAGTTGACCTGCTTTTCCACAGACATCTACCAAAGCATTAGATAAATCTGGGTTTTATTACTTGTTTATTTAAGATGACCCACATTAGAAAAGCATTCAACATAATACACTGAAACACGAGTATTCAGCTCAAATGGAGGAACAACCTAACGTCAATACCCATGAAAAAGTTACTGTGATTAAAACAGGGCTTGTGAATCATGTGTTAGCTGCTCTGCAGGAACTGCATGGGTCCATGTTCCCACAGGGATTAACTATAAATATTTCTGGGTGGTTTCTTCCTCTACTTACCATGAGTGTGTTACTACACTGCACCTGACTTGCTCTTCTATGAATAACAGTAGTTAAGCAGAAACTATTCTGACAAACTTCCTAATATCATAATAAGCAAGTAATAAAAGCTATGCTGCATCACATCATTTTTGACAAGTGTGTTTTACTTGCAACACAGCATTAGAATGTGTATTCTGTAAGAAAAAGTTGCTATCTTTCTTTAGCATAAATTTATGGTTTTAGTTGCCTCTATTACACACACAATGCTGGAAAGGCAGTTTTAATACAGTTTGTACTGTGGAAAAGACTGACACTTGCCTGTTCTAGCCAAACTCCAGACTCCTTATCAGGTTCCCAGATGATCACAGTTTTGTCCATTGATGCAGATAATATCCTCATTGGTTGTTGCATGCTGCCACCTGCTGTACAAGGAAAAAGATTACTCTACAATCTAAGAACGCTTAACTAAAAGAATTTGTTCATACTGGAATCCAAACACACTCAAATTTGTTCAGCAGAAGAGACGTACAGTGCAACACTTAGAGGCCACAGTTAATAGGTATTACGTTCTTACTAAGTGTTCATTAATAGGCACTGTATTTTTCAACCACAATATTCAAAAGGAAATGCAAAACACAAACAAGAGAACAACTACATTCTACTATTTATTCACTCCAAACTGATGCTGGAGAAAATGTTATTTGGAGGAAGAGCTAGAGCTTCTAGAGAGACCACACAGAAGTTTATGGTTCTGTTCCTCAACTTCTTACTGAATTTCCAGCTTCAAACAAAATAATAATCTCTATGCCAATAATAATAATAATCATCATCTCTATTCGCCATGCTGTGTTGGGTTTTTTTTGTTTGTTTGTTTGTTTTCCTCTTCGAACTCAGCTTTAGATTCATGGACACAGTCAGAGTGGAAAGGCGCTGGGTAAGCGCCTAGGAGAACTGTTTGAGGAGCCTAAAGACATTAGTGGACATCTTCTGAGGCAGTGTCTTATTTCAGCACCACATCTTCTGTGTTCTACATTGAGAAGTGATAAGCAGTGCCTAAAATATGTCTCTCCAATCAGCCTGCCTCTAGTGAACATGAAGATCTACTTCAGAGTACCCATGACTAGGAAGGGCCACACAAGCAGTGGTATGTATGCAGAAGCTTGATACAAGGTATCTGGAAAACATCATCTAACAATAAAACATTTTTTTGATTGCAATGCAAGATTTACAAGCCTACGTTTTGCATAAATCTTGATTTAAGAGGCAAATTCTTATACTGCTGTCCAGAAGAAAAAAAATAAATAAGGGATATAACAAACTAAAGAAAAGAAAAAGCAGGTCTGTGAACAACAAATCCACAAGGGCCTTTTGATAGTGCAAACACAACAAACTGAGATGTAAAAAGGATTTAAAAAAAGACTAGAGCAAGGTGTAAAGTTAAAGAACAATCTTCAATGAGAATCCACATTAATGCCTTAAAGCTACATTCTAGCTAAAGAAACCTGATACTCAAGAATTCATGGCCTGTTTAATTAATGCATGGAAGACTGAAGATTCATCTTCCAAATGTTGCTATTTGTTACTTTCTAGTCTAAGAAGAAAGGAGCACTCAGGTTAATACTGACCTTCCAAAGAACATACATTTCAAATGTATGTAACAAGAGAAAACATTAGAGCTGCTAATGCATGATGATAAATTATTTCTTATTACGTAAATAGGAAATCAACCACAATAAAACAAGTACAGCTCTGTTAATTCATTCACAGAAGAAGGCATAAGTGAAAGACAACATTAGGCAACAGATAGATCCTGTGCCATAAGATTGCTACTGTAACACATTCAGTCAAAACACCTGACTGAATATTTACTTGTAAAATATATTTACTTGTAAAACATCAGTTGAAAAATTTAAACATTTTTGTAGTACACAGTGACAAGTGAACATGCAAACACAATAAACAGATGTGACTGTACTTCATATATACAATGCTTAGCATAACTGCTAGGGTGCTCGGAAACAGCTCACCTTTGGAAAAGGAAGGCTGCCAGTGGACTGCATACACCCAGTTTTCATGGCCAGCCAGCACAGACTCCAAAGTAATTCCATATGTTGTATCAGTATCTACCACAAATCAGAGAAAAGCACATTTCTTTCTAAAAGCCAAGAAAAAAAACAGACCATTTCTGATATCTTCAATGACAAATCAACTGCTTTCATCATTTATCACCATCTCAAAAGCCTGTTGGCATTGAAAAGATCCTTGAAAATATACTTTGCCACAAGGCCTGCATATCATGTTGACAGCAACAGGACATCTATCGCCTTGCAGTGGCATCGCAGAACTCCTGGAGAGCTCTCAAGGAACTCTGAAATAAATCGTCCAGTATCAGCTGTGCCCATATACTTAGACATATTTGTATCTCCAAATTATTGCAAACACAACAATGAATTAGGATTTGTATCAAGTCTCACCAGCAATTTCTACACACATCATCCTAAAAACAATGTTATACTTCCTAATGTCAAAATTGCAAGCTTATGACTTTAGAGCGCTCTAAATGTATGTTAAATAAACACAAAGTAAACCTGCACACATTTATCTGTTCTCTCCAAACCTTTGCTAAGGTTTAAGTATTCAATGCTTTGAAAGCATTGAATTTAACATGTGTTATTAAGCTGGAGGGGAGCTACATGACAGCATATCTCCCACAAACAAATGTATCTCATGACTACGTACTGCATTTAGAATACATGTAACAGTACAGGTTGATATTAAGTTTTCTCACCACTCCATCATTTTGGGAACATATTGTTAACTTTTTACATATTTGCTGTTTTAAAACAGCAACTCCACTTTTTCTAATAACTGAACAAAATAATGCAGTTAAACTGGTCTCTCATTATTTTAAATACAAGAAACAAAAGAAATGAGACAGTAATCCTCTTGACAACCCTCCCAAAACCACTACCAGATACACAACCAATTGTAAGAGAATTTTACAGCTTTTACCTACCTTTAACAGTAAAAACATTCTCTTTCAGTCTGATAGAATCATCCTCAATTTCTGAACACTGCTTTGATTTTGTACACACTTTCCAAATTCTTATCAAACAATCCTGAGCACAGCTTGCTAAGAACAGATCATCACCTATTTGGTTAAAAAAAAAAAATAATCTAAAAAAAGCCATATTTTCACTGCATTACATATGACTTGCCATGACTTACCATGACTAACTTGTCACAGAATCACAGAATTGTAGGGGTTGGAAGGGACCTCCAGAGATCATCGAGTCCAACCCCCAATCATCTCTCCAAATATTATCATCTCTCCAAATATTCATTACAATATTACCCTCATTCTTTCCATTGTGCAAGTATCAACACTGCTGGTTAATTTCAACGTCAACTCATCTTAACATTTCAAGCTCTCCACTAGTTTACATCATACTGACAATGAACATTTCCCTGCCTGTTAGAAACACTGTGCTAAATACCAGATATGTTTCTCTATTACTTATGGCCTTTGTTATCCTAATTTCTGATAATGAGCAATCTAATATTTACAAGAACTTCTTTCCTCCCTTTCTTCTTTCAGGATTATAGATTCCTCTAATGCTTTCTATTTTATTTTGTCCACCTACATAGGTTCTCCTCAATCTCCTATCTTACAGAAAAAAAAAAAAAAAAGCTACACTAGGAGAAAGAAGAAAAGTACTACTTTTTTGTCCTCAACAAGAGGCAAACTATTTCTTACTCAGACACAGATATTGTCGTTCTGAGGACAAATTGCTAAAGCTCCTATTTGCATTAGGCAGCAGTTAGGTAAACAGGCTTGAAGTGATCACAATAAAAATGAGAGATGTAAACTCAAGTATGTTCTGTATCAATCTTACTGTATGGCAATTCTGATAACTTGATAAGTAATTGTGGTATTGGTTCAACAATTCTTACGTTTTTAATAAGACACAAAATTCTACCTTGATTTTTAACATTTGTGTCATCACCTCAGGAAAAAAAAATGCATAACCACACGAGCTTAGAAGCCACAGTGTGCCAAAAACATCAGCTGGGGTGGTAAAACAGCAGCAGTGGTACTAAATCAGTATTTTACTTCATTCATCTTTCATACTGACCACAGATCGCCCATTCAACGCCTCGTATCCAATCTTCATGGCCAGGGAGTATTACTGTTTTCTGAAACTGAATGAAAATGCCTGTTACATCATACAGAAGCGTACTCAATTACTATGCATACAAGGTCAATTAGCTTTCAAATTTGTTTACATTTACAGTTTCTATTATTTGAAATTGGAAAAAAAAAAAAAAAAAAAAGCCGCTATTAAATATTGTTATTTACTGACATATTCTAAATGGGCTTTTCTGTTTTGTTATCACTGCATGAACACATTCCATTATGCCACTTCCCATACATCAGCAAAGCATGAGAATTGAAGGAGTTCACCTCCAAGATGCTACAGACTTTCTATGATATTGATTGCATGTTATTTATTTTAAATAAATCATGCTTATAGTGGTAAACAAACACAATAAAACAATGCAGATGACACAGTAAATAATGACGCAAAGCAGATGCAGCTTCAGATGATGTAAAAAAATGAATATAGGTAAAAATTGAGCATAAAAAGTACAGATGCCAAATTTATTTCCATAATTAACTTTGAATATGATACCATAAGAATGACATAAGGGACCAGAAATATTCCCTACCTCTCAAGTTTATTAACTAAGTTTCAAAGGGTGCTGTACATGAAAAACTGTATCTGTGGATAGATACCTCTTCATAAACATAACCTCAACACTTGAGATTCACAGTGACAATAACATAGTCCAGATTGCCCTTTGACAAATTTCATTAGTAGTATACTTCTATTTGTAACAGGTGGAATATTGCATTTTACAGACTGGAGGAAAGGGCTGACAGATACCTCAAGAATGTCAAAAAGGAAAATTGCAAAGTCTGGAGAGGAATAACCCCAGGTTCCAGAATGAGCTTAACCAGAAAGGACCTGGGGATCCTGGTGGATACCAAATGAACATGAATTACCAGTATGCCCTTGTCTCTAAGAAAGCTAATGGTATTCTGGACTGCATTAAGCAAAGTATGGTGAGCAGATTCACAGGGGTGATCCTTCCCCTCAGTACCAGTGAAGCTAGACCTGGAGAAATATGTCCAGTTCTGAGCTCCTAAGTACAAGAGAGACATGGAACTCCTAGAGAAAGCCCAACAACGGATGACAAAGATGATTAAGAGACTGGTGCACCTCTTCAGTGAGGAAGGGCAGAGAGAGCTGGGACAGAACAGGAGGCTCAAAGAAACCTCAGTTGTATACAAGTACCATAAGGGAGGGTGCAAAGAAGATGAGGGCAGCCTCTTTTCAGTGGTGCCCAGTGATAGTATAAGAGGCTGCAGAGGTTGAAGTCTTTCTTTGCCAGACAGTAGATGTGATTTACCTCCTCTATCCAGCTGACAATCTTCTCAGAATTAGAAAGAGGCCAAATTATCTTTGGTTCTCTTACTTTGCTTTTCAACCAAAGCAAATTATTTGAGGGAAATCACTAAATATACACAACCAGATTTTCTTACAACCGCCAAGCTCAACATATGGGCATCGTTTTAAAGCTCTATTTTGATAGTATGGTTTGCTTTGCTTCCCCTTCACAGGACCATAACATCTCAAGCAGGAAGACGTAAAATTATTTCTTAGAGATTTTTCCCAAATCAATAGCCTCTTTCAGGAACACAGAAAAGCAAAGAGACTGTTTTCTTTCTACTAAACACTCTAAGGGATGTCCAAATAGAGGATCATCCACTCCATTTCAAAAATCAAGCAGTTTTACAAATAGTGATATTTCAGCTGTCAAATTCATGGGATTACCCAAAAAGCAGCCTGACTCAACTAAAAAAAATAACCTGAAGATATCTCGCCCTTCCTCTGACTACAACAATGCCATCGGAGTTTCATTAGTACGTCCCATTGCCAATTTACATTCTACCTCTGTACTCATAGTCTTAGATTTCTAAAAATTAATAGAGCTGAGCTATGGGACCTTACCAGCAAAGGAAGAATGTAGAAGTTCAGGTTCTAACTTCTCCCCAACATCAAGTTCTGCTGAAAAGTAGCAGGACAATAACAACACTTCCTTCAAATAACTTTTAAAAAAAGAGCTATAGTGGCCATAAAAGATGTCAGCAAATCTGAGAGAATCTGACTGAAGAGGAGAATCTCCCTTTAGCAGCCAGGAAGGAATTTATGGCAGGAAACTCCAAGGATGTTTTCATTCTGTTAATAGCTGTAGTGTGCCATTCATGCATTTTTAATCTAAATGGAATCAAATATGTGCTTTTCACTTTTCACTTCACAGTCACGTTTCAGGAAGTTGAGACAGAACCAAACAGAAGCCTCACCTCACTGAGAGAGAGGGCCAGGGTGAATGGGATGAGGATTAACAAGGCCAAGTGTCGGGTCCTGCACTTTGGCCACAACAACCCCATGAAGCGCTACAGGCTTGGGGATGAGTGGTTGGATGACTGCGAAGAGGAAAGGGACCTGGGGGTGTTGGTTGATGCTCTGCTGAACATTAGCCAGCAGTGTGCCCAGGTGGCCAAGAGGGCCAACGGCATCCTGGCCTGCATTAAAAATAGTGTGGCCAGCAGGAGCAGGGAGGTGATCATCCCCCTCTACTCAGCACTGGTGAGGCCGCACCTCGAGTACTGTGTTCAGTTTTGGGCCCGTCACTACAAGAAAGACATTGAGGCTCTGGAACGTGTCCAGAGAAGGGCAACAAAACTGGTGAGGGGTCTGGA